GCCTACAAAACAATATCAAGAAAACATGCTCTTTCAGAATTTTGTACTGTCCAAGCAAGACTCTTCCTTCAGTGTCATACTGAAATTTTAGGCTAGGTTTTTTGTTTATTTGTTTGTTTAGAAGAATAAAATGTCGGAGCCCTGAGGCATTAGATGCTGTACATGACCCTCTTCTGGCAAGCTGTATGCTAATGTAGACAGTGGCATTCAGCAAGGAGACATATAGGGAAATTGAAAGTAAATGCTTAAGAACTTTTTATTAGCATATTTTCAGGTACTTCAGTGCCTGCCCATAAGGTTTTTTGATCTGTGTGTGTAGCTCAGTATTTGCTTGTGTATGTGATTCGACATCACTACATTTTTAAAAAATTAAATGGCTTTTATATATTCATGTTCCAGCCTTCTTTGTTTCAGAAGTGGCTTGTATGGGATTAAACTACTGCTAAGGTTCTGCAGAAGGATGGTCAAAGACTAGTCTATAACTTTACCTGATCCATATGGCAAGTTTCTTCCTTAGTATAACTCACTCTGCATCCTACCAATATGGAGTATTTCCAAATCTGAGGCTGATGCCTCCAAGAATATTTGATACTGGGGTGGAGAGATTCCACATAAAAACCAACAGTGAACTAAAGGAGAACCAGTGTGCCATGTGTACAGGTAACATGTAGCCAGCCCTAAGATATCTGCATTAAACCAGAACCTTTCTTTTATTTTTTAATTAACAATTACATGACTGTTCTTCTCACATAAGAGATACAATGATAAATCACTTCCATCAATAAAAGGTTTAAAACTTGTTTAATTGATTCACTGGTTATATTAATTAAAATAATTTTCAATCAATTAAAGAGGTCCTGTGTTTAATAACTGGGTAGATTTTTTAAAAAAATTATATTGAATGCAAATACTTAAAAAGTTGGAAATGGCAAACTTTAAAAGAGGTATTCCTTTTTTCTTTCTTGTAGGAAGAATTATTTCTTCCAAAGATAAGAGTGAAAACTTGTGACTCTCCAGATATTGTTGGATTCTGACCCCATCATACCTGTTCATTAATCATGCTGACTAGACTGATAGAAGTTGAACAATGATTGGAGGACACAAGTCCCCCCTCCCCAACTGTTTTAACATTATGCCATTACCAACACAGAGGCAGACTTGTTTCAGAAATACTATGTTTACCTTTTTGTAGATGTAACTGAATAATGAAGTTGGTAACCAGCTTGTATTATACCCAAAAGGATGGACAGAGATCAATTTTATATTTGCTACTGAACTATGAGATCTAAATTAGCAAGGTAATGACAAATATATGTGATAAATAGATTTTAAAAAATAACCACATGAAACACAGAGAAAAGAACTCAAGGATATTTGCAAAATTACTTGAAAATCCTCTTTCTTACCCTGCTGTTGAAAAAGAATCTGTTCTCAGACACAAAGAATATGTATCAACAATTCATTGGCACAGCTCAAATGGAGATCTATCCCTCACATTTCTATTAGAGGGTGTGGAGCCTCTGTAGCAATCCAAGAAGGACAATAGGCATTTAGGAATATCCAGAGCCAACCCAAATAAGTTTTAGCAAGATGGGATGCTTGAGTGAAGTTTCTAGATTCAATACGTTAAGGTGAGTAGATCTAACTCAGATCATAGATTAAATTGTGACTAGTTTGTACCCATGATTTTGTCTTGAGTTCCTTGGCCCACTAATGAATCTCTATCAAAGATCGACATGGTGTCTAATCTACCGACATGGTGTCTAATGCCAAGCAAATAAGTTTATTTGCAAAATGGCTAGCAAACAAGTCGCAGCAGCCTGTGGGAAGATCTTCCTGCTCATCACACCCAAGCAGACTGTGGTTTACCTTGAACAATACTACTGGATGACATTCTATTTATGCAGTAAGACTGGATAAATTTTAATGCTTTGCCATCTTTATCACCACTGTATAGGCCCAAACCAGGGCTTGTACCATGTCCAATCATACTCCTTGTCTTTTGTCTCTCTCACTATCACCCTAGGCATCTCTTCTGCCTCTGCATTCCCTGAAACTACTCAGTCATGCCTCTGTATCTCCCTCAAAGAGAGGTCTTTCAGGGCCAATCACAGACAATGACCTTGTCATCTCTATCCTTTTTGCCAAGTTAGTACAAATCAACAAAAGGAGCCGTGTCACTTCTGTGTTAGGTTGCATTAATTTCTACTCTAAATTATGCATCTGAACATTTACATGCCTACAAAACAATATCAAGAAAACATGGTAATTAAGCAACACATCGGAAAGGTCCCAGTTTGGCAAAGGAGATTTTAGCAGATGAAACTTGTTAAAACCTTTAATCTAAACATGGATCCTGGGTGCCCTCTAGTGTGAATTACTAGAAGTTACACTCAGGTTCCATTTCAATTATTTTCCATTCCTGGACCCTAAAACACATCATGATTATCAGGCAGGTTGTACTCTTGCTGTCACGTTTAAATAAAGTGCTTTACTGTCCTCATAATCCTCCAGATACATGCTGCTTTATTTTATTTTATTTTTATTTGTATTTCAAATTTGTCACTGCCCATCTCACTCCCAGAAAAAGCTTGCTTTATTTTATAGGAGGGAAGTAATGTTTACCCCTTGACTATCTTGTTTTAAACTACAATCAAAAACATAATCAGGCCTTGTAGAGTAAAACTCCCCCAGGATCAGACTGCCGTTTTAAAGGGAATGCTGATTTAATTCTTGCATTTTAATTTTGTTTAAATAGGTGGTTTTATTTGTGATTGTCTTGTTTTTAATTGAAGCTTATTTTGCAATTGGAGAGGTGTGACAGAAAAAGGAAAGTAAATATCGGGAGCCTAGCTAAATTACTTATCACCTCCTTGAACGAACCTCTGGATTTTGGCACATGTTCAGAATTCACTGCAGAGAGGATGGTTGGGGAGTTCATCTGGGCCTCCTGCCTCAGTGTTCTAGTGAAGTTCTTGTTTCCCCATCTCCTCTTCCTTTTATTCTGAGTACTATCCTCAATTTTATAGAATAAATGATCTTTAGCCAGAAAGTGTCTATGGCTAAACCTACCTGCCTAACAACCTGTCATGAAATTATAAAGATGGCATTCACCAATTGTGCAATTGTAGAAGTGGGATTACATGGAAGAAGCTCTTTTTGGGAATCAAAAGCTGAATTCCATCTATTCTGGACTCTCAGAATGAGATTAATTTTTGTGATACTTTAGTGGGCACTGTTTTGCCATAGTAAAATCTAGGGAATTCACACAGACATACACATCCCTTCTTTATTCCAGCGGAAGCAGCAAAAAGGTTTTCCAGATGGAGATGGGGAGGAAAAGAAAAGGAAGAGGACCATACTTCATGGAGATAATGGGAAGAGAAAATGTAACTAGATAGGGAAGGGGGGAAAAACAGAAGGGCTATTTATGTATTACAGAGTGAGTTAATTTCAAGGCCAAACTAGAGCTTGTTTTCAAACTAATCTTCACAGATATACAGGTAGTCCTCACTTAACAATCCTAATTGGGACTGGAATTTTCGTTGGTAAGCGATGCAGTCATTAAGCAAAACATCACACAACTGCACCACTTAGCAAGGGCAATTTCAGTAGTCCCAGTTGCAGTCATTAGGCCAAGACCGCACAGGTTGTTAGGTGAGGACCTCGTGCCTCTCTCGCCCTGCTGCACTTGCATCCTGTTTAACTCCCCCCACCCGCCTACCTTACTCCCATCTCTGCCCTTTTGGCTGCTCTGCACTCCACCACCCCTGCTGCCCTCTGCCCTGTGCCACCGCCCCTGCCGCCTCGGCTGCCCTGCACCCCCAGCGCCCCTGCCAACCTTTGTGGTCTTCTTCTTGCTGTTGATGGGGCACGCCCAGCCTGGCCCTTCACAAGGCATCTGCTGGCCATGCGAGGCCTTCTGAGGCCTCACGTGGCTTCAAGTAGGCTGTACCTGGCCTCGGGAAGGCCTTGTGCAGCCAGCAGCTGCCTCACAAAGGGCCAGGTTGGGTGCACCACATCAGCAGCAGGAGCAAGAAGATAGCGAAGGTCAGCTAGGGTTGGCAGGAACAGCAGAGTGCAGGGCAGCAGGGATGCAGGGTGGAGCACAGATTTTGAGGACTAGGTATAAGCACCATTCATTCAGCACCGTCATAACTTCAAACAGTCGCTGAACAAATGGTAATTAAGTGAGGACTACCTGTACACACTTTTCAAGCAGTGCTGTTTGCAGTCATTTAAAACTTCTGTTCATTCGTTTGATCTCAACCTTCTTTTCTCATCAGCAAACATAAAAGGATCTTCTCAGTTCATAGGCAATTACAGTATTTATGGGGGAAAAAAATCCTCAGCTTCAAAATGTAGTCAGCCAGTTGGGCTACATTCAGGAGCCTCTCCTGGCAGGAGGCAGCACCTGGCTGACCTTGTCTGAGCTCTGAAGTTAATCAGGGTTTGGTCCAGGGTGTACTCGGTTGAGAGATCTCCAGGGATTACAAGGATTACAAGTGCTGTAGGCTAGAGTGGGAACTAAAAAACAAAGTCCTAAAAGAAGGCGGTGGCAAACTATTTCCATATTGCTACCTAGAAAACTACAAAGATGCCTCCATGAAATCAGCAGGAATTGAGCTTGGTTTGAAGAAGGCCTTCTTTACCTACTGCAATGAGCCTTATAGACTGCCCTGCCCTGCCAGCACTACTGCTCACCATCACAAGACTGCGCAGACTTTCTTGCAAAACAATGAACAAATTTTCTGACATTCTAAGGATAACAAGCCTACAGTATTTCAGCCTAGGTTTTTCTGGACTTTGAGCGGCATGTTCCTCCTGCTGTTGAAGCTGCTGATAATGAAACGAGGCAAACCAATTTTCAGTTATAGTATAAAAATAGCACCTCTGATTTTGCTTTATCCCACTGGATTTTTGAACTGTTCAATAAAAACCACATGCTTGTGTAGACATTCCTTACTATTTTCTTCTTTTTGTGGGAAACAGTTATATCAGGTTGTTTTTGAGACACATAGAAGCTATCTAAGACCAAAACATAAATAACCCTACACACGCCAAGGTATGAAACTAAAGGAAGGGCAGCCATTGAGAACTCCTGTGACCCCAGTAGACATCATTCTTCTCTCCCATGATTCCTTAGAGCAGCCTTTCCCACCTATGTTCTCCTGCTGTCTGGTCTATAACCTCCCATCATCTCTCCTGACCAATGGCAATTCATACTGGGAATCCAACACATTGGGAGGGAGAGAGTACCTGGTCAGCCTTTGACTGGGTTCACACATTGTGCTACATAGTTTGCTTTAAGCATGGTTTGATGAATAAAACACAGTGGCTGGATTCACACGTTATGCCAAGGTGGAACTGAATCTTGTGAAATCATTAAATCTCATAAGATCTTGCAAAGACCTCTTGTTAGATGTTATGCGACTTTGGCCACTTTTCCATTATAAACAGTCCTTCCCTGAAGACCACTAGCTCAACAATATCCTGACCACAGGACATTAGCTTCTATGGTTTGTTAACACTCAATCCAATCCATTTTTCCTTTTTTACCCACCCACGCACTACTTCAGTGAAGAAACTGAAGCAGAGAACAGGTTGGATATTTCAGCAAGTCAGTGATTTAAACCCTAACTCCAGATCAACCATAAAGTATTTACAGTAAAGAAAGATAAAGGTTTTGGAATGCTCTTCATTCTCTAGACCTGAATATTATTAACAATTTTGGGGGAGATCTCAAAGATGCCTAAAAATATTTTTAAGCTAGAAGAGTTTGGCAAACAAGAGTGGGAAAAAGCAAGAACAGAACCTCTCAGATGGCTATACA